CCAGTGAGCAGCCGGTCTGCATGTGGGATCTGAACCCTCGGCGGGAGCGCCGCCACGCTCCCAAGTGGCGCACTGTAGCAGTGCGCCACCAGGCCGGCCCAAGAGGTTTTTTTTTTAACTTCTTCAGTTCTCCAAATCTGAAGTGAGCATCTACTCATGCCAAGATGTTGTAGCTACTAGAAGGACTGCCAAACAAAACAGTCATGGAATCTGTCTCCAGAAGCACAGTCTACTGAAGGTGATGGACATTGAACAAGGAATTCTAGATGTCCTAAGGTTTAGGAAAGAAGAGGTCCAGAGAGCATTATGGGGACAAAGAGCATGAGGGTACTACTAATCAGTTTTTGTTTGCAAGCTGGCTTTTGAAAAAGGGTTGTTTTTTTTTTAACTCACATACCCAAGAGTCTAAGGCATAGCCCTCTGGCATAGCTGCATCCAGGTGTCCAAAGAATGATGTCAGGAATGCATTCTCCATCTCTCAGCTCGGCCTTCCTCTATGTTATTTTATTCTCAGGCAAAGCCTTGAGTAGTGGTGAAGGTAGTCTCCACAGCTTATTTTCAGTCTGTTTAGCAATACCACAGGAAGTTGTGTGCCTCTTCTCTAAAAGCTTCAGGAGAAGTCCTGAGGAGTGTTTTCATTGGCCTGGCTTGGGTCCTGTGTCCCTGACTCAGTCAGTATTGCCAGGAATTGGGGTGCTTTGTCTGGCCAGACTGTCATCACAAGTCCACTCCCAGAGCTGGAAGCTGGGTTTAGCTCCACTTTACCCACTCGGACTGAGATGAGGGAAGGCTGGTTCTCCACACAAAAATTAAATGATGTTATCAAAAAAGGGGAGGTAAATTATATGATCTTTACCACTGGGTTTTCGAATAGTAGGTGAGGGCAAGCATATTCTGTAAAAGTATTCTGTTATTAAATGAAAGGGGAGTGGTAGGATTAGAATAACACCATTTTGCAGCCCCCAGTGATAACATGTTATTCATTAATGACTGTTAACACCATGAAGAGAGACAATCAGGCACTACGTGCCCCATGTAGTCTCACCAAAGGATCAAACCTGAGTCCAATCCAGTCTCTGGTAGCAGCCAATGATTTGCAGATGGTACACAGGACAGGGGGGCGTGTTGAACTTCACCGTAAGTGTGCAGTTGGCAAAATCCAGATTGTAGGACGCTCCACAAGTCAAGTAGCCTGCGTTCTTCCAGAAGAATGGAAAGGAAAAGAAAGAAGTGGCAGGAAACATGTAGATTCAATGTTTTTTAAATGACCAGGACTGAACTGTAGTACCTAGGGATGCACATTTAGGTGAAGAAAAAAAAAAGCAGCTACTTAAGAATGCAAAGAAAAACTGAAAAGATGAAGCCATTCTTTCTGAACGTGCTTTACAGAAGTAGAAAAGTATAAACATTTCAAAACTGCAGGAAGTGATTATTATAAATGTTGGGGTAAGTGTTATTTATCAGGGGGTTGGAGGGGACTGTTCTGGGGTGAACACAAAGATTTCTGGGGTGGCTGGCAAAGTTTTGTTTCTGAAACTTTGGTGGCAGTTGTGCGGGTATTTGCCTCAGAATAGTTCATTAAGCCACATATTTGTGGGGTTTTCTGTATCTGTGTTTTATTTAGAATAAAAAGATTTAAAAGGGGGGAGGGGACGGATGTGAGTCGGCAGAAACACCTAGTGTCTGTTAGAGATACTTAATACCTCAGGGACTACCTGTGAGGAGGTGGCCTGTAGGTTGAGACTTAAAGGAAGAGTCACAGTTAACCAAGTAAAGGTGAAGGGAAAGGCAAACAGAACCGCATGTGCAATGGCTGGTGAGGTTATGCTTAAAAATGGTGCTTAAAGCAGAGTGGCAGGAGACAGAGCTGGAAGGTGTAAGCCATGGAAGCCATGCTTCAGATTGGGACTCTGTCCTGAGAGCAGCAGGAAGCCAGTGCTAGTACTATCCTGAGGGACAGTCATTCATAAACAGTCACTCTGGTCCCAGTGTGGAGACTAGATGAAAGAGGGATGAGAGTAGATGGAGGAGGCCGGTCAGGAGGCTGTCACCTTTGTCCAGTCTAGATATGATCTTAGCCTGAACCAGGTTGGCAGCAGCAGGGAGTGGAAAGAAAAAGGCAGATTTGAGAAATATTTGGGCAGTAGAATCAACAGGACTTGGTGAGGGGGCAGTCAAAGGTGATGGCCAGGCTTGTGCTTGGACAGCTAGGTGGAAGGCATGCATTTTCTGAGCTAGGGGAGGCCACTGGAAGGGTAAGTTTGAAGAAGAGAGCAAGTCTTGCTTGAGGCAACTGGATGGAGCTATCTGGGCTAGAGCTGCAGACGTGATTGTCTGCAAAAAGACAATGTTGGGAACCATGAGACTCAATGAACTCAACAAGGCACACAGTTGGCTGGAGAACCTAGGACAGAGCCTTAGATGCCCACATTTAAGTGGTGGGTAGCAGAGGTGGAGCTGACAAGACACTGGGAGCATGTGGAGTCACAGAGGCCAAAGGAAGGGAGGAAATGGAGACGGGAGTGGTCAGCATGGTGCGGTGCTGCTGAGAGGTCCAAAATACAAGGACAGAAAATGCCTGCAGGAGTCAGTGGCATGGAAGCCACAGGAGACTGGTGGGAGCCAGAGTGGTGAAAGCAGAAACCAGACAGGTGGTCCAGAAGTGGAGGTGGGGTGAGGGACTGGAGAGAGGTTGGGTGCGAAGGAGGGAAGAGGACTGGGTGTGGAGGCCCACAGGCTTACCAGAGTCCTCTGTTTGTGTTTTGCTTTGTTTGCAAAGCGGAGGGACACAATCATTTTTCCAATGTTCTTCGAGTGAAAACTGTAGAGAGTGAAAGGTTGAATGTGCAAGAGAAGGATGAGGGCAGGGCTCCAGAGCCAAGAGGAGGCCTTGGCCTTGGGCAGGGTCACAGGAGGAGAGGAGGTGGAGGAGTAGGTGGCATGCAGGTGAGTTTGTAGATTTGGTGGCTGAAAGTTGAGGCATTTCCCACCTAATGGCTTCTGTTTCCTATATACTGAGGAAGGGAGGCCATCTGCTGAAGGGTGGTGGGGAAGTGTGGAGTGGGGGGCCTGAGGCGGGTGTGTAGTTTGTGAAACAGTCATCATGGAGCAAAGGCGAGGGTGTTAGGAATTGAGAGAGAGAAAATGGTTATTAGATGTAGTAGAAAGAGACTGGAATCTGGAGTCAGAAGCCCAAGTTCCCCCCAGCCCTGTTTCTTACCATCTCCATAACCTGAAGAGAGTCACATAACCCTTTGAGGTTAGTTTCCTCATTTTCCAAAGGAGTTAGTAATAAATGCTGCCACAGATGCTGCCACAGAGCAGCTGGAGTGCATGGAACAGCTCATGGGGAAAGGGAAGCGCATACTGGTGGCCAGCGATGAGAAAACAAGAGCGGGGCTATATGACAAGTGGCCCCAGAAATGAGTGACTCTCTTGGTCCTCAGGAACAGGATGGGAGCTCTGTCCTTTCTCGGCCGCTGATGAACAATATGGCAAGTCCCTGAGTGTCCATGATGTGGCAGCAACCTCAGGGGCCCCTGGTGACCAGAGCAGGAACTGGGATAGGAATTTATTTTTCTGCTAAGAAGCCTTTTTTCCTTTCTTCTGTCTAGAGTTTGTTCAGTGCTCTCAGAACCCTTTCATATCTGTCATTTTACTTAATTCCCAGGAGTTGGGAAATTTTGTTCTCATTTAATAGATGAGATTAATAGAATTTAATAGAATAGATTTAGTAGCTGAGGGACTAAACAACTTGTTCATAATCATACCACAAATTCAAGGCAGGATAAGAACACGGGCCTCCTTGTTCACTGTGGCAGTGGTTCCATCTCAGAAGCCACCGGCATGAAGAGTGGAATAGCATGGTGTTCAAGTGCTCACTCCTGGCTTTCCATTCTGTGACCTTAGATGAAGATTCCTTAACCACCCAGGGCCTCAGTTTTTTCCTCTGTAACAGCCAGGCCTTTCCATTTGTCACCTTCCCTTTCTGCTGCAGGCCTGGGTTGCCAACTATGAGAGACCCCGAATGAACGCCACCTCCCTACTGGCCAGCCCCACAGGCCTCAGCCCCTACCTGCGCTTCGGTTGCCTCTCCTGCCGCCTCTTCTACTACCGCCTGTGGGACCTGTACAAAAAGGTGAGAGCACAGGGAGTCCTGCTGGGCCTGTCAGCCACCTTGGAAAGGGCCCTCCTGCTGGCCCTGGGACAGGCAGGCTGGACCGTGGGTCCTGGAGGTGCTTAAGTACATGTACAGTACAGAGGAGGTGGGAAAGAGTCAGTACCCAAGAGGTGGCAGAGCCAAGCACAAACCTAATCACAGACCTAAGTAAAACCAGATTATCACATAGAGCAGGACAGTTAGAAAAGCGGGCCTCAGACGTGACCCTAGAGGTGGCAGATCTGCTAAGAGCAGGTGGATGGGACGAACTCCTGAGGTGGGAGACAGGCAGGGGAGGCTGGAGCCAGAACTGAGCTGAAGAGTGCTGCTGCCTTCTGGGGGGCTGTGTCCAGAGCATGTAAAAGGGGAGGCCTGGAGCAGCAGTTGCCCATCTGTGCTGGAGGAATGGCCTGGAGGGGCTGCACGCAGGACTGTGCTGTTCAGTCAAGAGGAAAATAACCCTGGGTTAAGGCATCCCCAGAAGGAGAGAAGACTGCAGACCCAACATTCAGAGTCATAAGATTATCCTGTGTCTGTTTTTTAGTGTTATTTCCCCATCTTTGCCAATAGCAGGATTTTGTGGCACAGGGTAGCTTTGTCAGTTTGGCAGATAGTCTTGGGATTTTAGGAAATCATTTGCTTGGAGGTCTGATCTCTTAATTCCCTCATAGCCCCAGATCCAGGCTGTTGTGTATAACTTATTTAGCCAAAATCTAGACTGAGCATTTTTTATGCACATTGGTGGGAAAACTCCCTTTGACTTTCTGGAGTGGAGCTGAACAAGAAACCCTGAGGACAAGGATCATGACAACTCTTGTCCTGCAGCGATGTCCCTTTCTACTGCCCAGCTCTCTGAAACCTTTGTTATTGCTCAGAGCAGTGGCTTGGCACAGGCAGAGCCTGGGTGTTGAGTCTGCAGGCATACTCTGCTGCTGCTTCTAGGGAATAGTCCCTCTGCATGTCTGGGGAGGTTGGAGCCACAAAGTTTGTGGGGGCTCCAAAGTCCTTTGTGGAAGAGGCCTAAGTGACATGGGGCTGAGAGCTGGGCAAGTGTGTCTATCCATGTGCTACCCCCACCACTCAGGTGAAACGGAACAGCACACCCCCCCTCTCCCTGTTTGGGCAACTCCTGTGGCGAGAGTTCTTCTACACCGCAGCCACCAACAACCCAAGGTTTGACCGCATGGAGGGGAACCCCATCTGCATCCAGATCCCCTGGGACCGCAACCCTGAGGCACTGGCCAAGTGGGCCGAGGGCAAGACAGGCTTCCCTTGGATTGATGCCATCATGACCCAACTGAGGCAAGAGGGCTGGATCCACCATCTGGCCCGGCATGCTGTGGCCTGCTTCCTCACCCGTGGAGACCTATGGGTCAGCTGGGAGAGCGGGGTCCGGGTGAGTGATCTCCCAGTGGGAAGTGGGCCTGTACCCTCTGGTCAGGCCCAGTAAAGGGAAGCCAGGCTGGTGGATGGGGTGGGATCCCTGTGTCCAGGAGATTCGCTCCAAATGCTCCCTGCTCACCCTCAGCAGAGGGCCTTGACTCTCTTCGCTGTGGGGCACTGCAGTGACTTGGGAAGAACCATGGCAGTAGGCCCCTAAGGAAGCTGGTTGTCTCCCTCCCCTATCCAGGTATTTGATGAGCTGCTCCTGGATGCAGATTTCAGTGTGAACGCAGGCAGCTGGATGTGGCTGTCCTGCAGTGCTTTCTTCCAACAGTTCTTCCACTGCTACTGCCCTGTGGGCTTTGGCCGCCGCACGGACCCCAGTGGAGACTACATCAGGTGAGGTTCTCTGGCTTCTGACCACTGTGGCCTCCTCCTAGGATGGGATACCTTTGGCCCTTTGAAAGAGTATTTGGGTATGCTGACAGATCATCCCATGTGTATGTTTCAGACGATACCTGCCCAAATTGAAAGGGTTCCCCTCTCGATACATCTATGAGCCCTGGAATGCCCCAGAGTCGATTCAGAAGGCAGCCAAGTGCATCATTGGTGTGGACTACCCACGGCCCATTGTCAACCATGCTGAGACCAGCCGGCTCAACATTGAGCGAATGAAGCAGATCTACCAACAGCTCTCACGTTATCGAGGACTCTGTAAGGAGCTACTACCCCTCCCCACCATCTCCTAGCTCAATGCAGGGAAAGAGCACCTGCAGGCTCAGAGGGGATAGATGGGGATTTCCAGATATTACTTGCAAAGGGAGACTGCCTTCCAGGCTATTAAGTTGACTTGAGTCAATACAGGGGCACAGGACATGGCAGGCTAGGCTCGCTTGGGCCTCCTTGAGTAGTTGTGGGGCAGTGGGACAAGATGGAACCTGAGTGTCATGGTCCTGTCCTCCCCACCCTCTTGTTTTCTCTGGCCCCACAGTCCTCTGCAATCCTGCAACACTACATTCTGATTACTCCCCGCCTCTCCCCAGGTCTGCTAGCATCTGTCCCTTCCTGTGTGGAAGACCTCAGCCACCCTGTGGCAGAGCCCAGCTCAAGCCAACCTGGGAGCATAAGCAGTGCAGGTGAGCAGCGGCAGCGGGCCTCCCATGGCCTCCTGTGGCCTGTGCCGCCACTTCAGTCATTCAAGGCTGAGGCCAGAAGGAGTCCTTGTTGCCTGATGGAGTTTATATTCCACCTGGGGCAGACAGGTATTAAGGGAACCAAGTAAGATCATTTCCAATAACTCGTGATTTGGGGGAAATAAAATTGAGTGCCTTAATAGAGAGGAGCTGGAGAAGGAGGGGTTCCTTTGGGTTACTTTAGATTGGAACAATCTGGGAATACCACTCTGAGCAAGGACTCAAGTGATGAGCAAGAGCCGGCCCTTCCAAGAACTAGGAAAAGAACATTCTAGGCAAAGGAAATAGCAAGATAAGGCCCAGAAACAGGACTGAGCATAGCCCATTCAAGGAACTGAAGGGAGGCCAGTGTGGCAGCATATCTCACCATGCCAGGAGCTGGAGTAGGATGAGGACGAGAAGGAGCAGGAGCAGTGGCGGACAGGTGTGACGTCTGTAGAGAGGATGAGGATTCTGTCTCCGTGTGCTAAAGGGTGGGCAGCAGTGCAGACTGAGGGCTTAAAAAACACCGCTGCCTGCTGTGTGGAGTGGACAGTGCAGGACAGAAGTGAGTACAGGGAGGCGAGAAAGGAGGTGGCTGCAGTCATCCACACAGCACAGACAGGGTATTGGCCGCAGAGAGAATAGACAGGATTGCTGCATTCTCAACCTCCTCCCTCTGGCTTTGGGGTGGAGAGCAGCAACATGAGATGGCAAGAACACCAGGGGGTTCACTCGTTTCCCCAGCCAGGCTGGCCTCATGGCCAGACGCCCTGCTGTTTGTCCCTCTGGAAGGCCAATCTAGGGTTGCAGAGGGAATGCCTCACCTTGAGAGCAAGGACAGTAGACAGACCAAATCAGCCTCTGTCCTGGAGGCCATGGGATTTGGGCCCAAAGCTGGCCCTGCTGCCAGCAGGCCTAGTCGTGCTCTCCTCAAACACTTCCAGGCAAGGTCACTGCCTAAAGGAGAGCTGAGAAGCAGGTCTGGGGAGCAATGTACTGGCTTTCCATTGATGAGCGGGCTCCCTATCCCCTAAACAGGGTCATCTTGGCTTTATGCACATCTTGGCTTCCCTGCAGGCCCAAGACCAGTGCCCAGTGGCCCAGCATCCCCCAAACGCAAGCTGGAAGCAGCTGAGGAGCCACCTGGTGAAGATCTCAACAAACGGGCCCGGGTGGCAGAGTCGCCAGCCCCAGAGCTGCCGAGCAAGGATGTCTGAGTGAGTGACGGCAGCTTAGAGTCACCTTTGGGAAAGAAGATGAGAGAGAAGTGGGGCTCGGTTTAGAAATCATTGCCCTGCCAGCTGAAGGTTAAAACACTGCAAAATCGATTAAAATCTGGTGGGGACTCTGATTTTTTAGGATATCAGCTCAAAAATTCTACCATTCTTATATACCTTATAAAATTTAAAAGAAAATTAAAAACTCAAGCCCTTTTCTTTCTTTGCCAGCTAAGGAAAAAAAGGTGTTTGGGGCACTTTCTATGTATTAAAGTAAGTCAGATCCAACAAAAAGGAAGCAGAGCCCTGAATGTGAAGCTGTGGGGAAAATGGCCCGATGGCAGGGTCCAAGGCTGCTTGCTCCAGGCTCCCTGCAATCCCCGACAGGCTCTGTTCTGTAGGCGGGCCAGCGGGAGGCAGCACTGACCTTCAGAAAACAGGGTAGGAGCCGGGCTGTGCTTCACTTAGCCCAGCCCCACCTAAGGACCAGCAGATCCGGTCTCCCGATCACCTTTGCCTTTTTTACAGCCACTCCCCCATTCTCACCTTCTGTGTGGCTTCAGCTGCGTGCTTCCCTATCAGTGCTTGTCTTTCATGGAAGCCTCCTGAATGTCATTTAAAAAGTGGCTCTTTCCTTCTTCAAAGCAGGAACGGCCTTTTATGCCTTTCTTACAGAAATGTAAATTGCTGTCCTCTCTGAGTCGTCATCTCAGGCTGTTCCTTATGTGCCATGTCTGCATCATTAGATTGGAGGGTGATTTTCTCCATGGAGTTGATCGCTTCTTTTTTCTAAATCCCTCTCAGGGGCCAGGCTGCGGCCATCTGGTTTGAGTGTCTAGGTTTGTATGCATAGGGAGTTGGCCAGCGTTTGATGCTTATACCCTTTACCTTTACTGGGCTCTTTGACATGGACATTGCTGATGTACAGATTTGTGCCGTCTTGTTCCTGGGGGTACCAACAACCTTAGATACTACTCTCTCTGTTATATCTTAGGTCTGTGATACTAAGCAAAGTTCATTCTGTTTTACAAATCTGGAACTTGCCAGGCTGATGCTGTGATTTTCAGGTAAGAAGCCCAAAGAACAGAGAGGTTAAATGCAGGTGTCAAGTTTGCTCAGTAAGCTAATGGCATCTAATCCAGCAAAAAATTGTTGCCAGCAGGCGCATAAGGAAGGGGGAGCATAAAATATAAATTATGGTATGACGTCCATCCACAAGGATTTAACAGTCTGCTTAGGAAAAAGAAGACAAATAACCTATAATTCCTAGGCAAATGACACATTCTCCAAGCTTGTCCAAAGAGAGCTCTTGGTGGGTTGCAGTGATCAAGGAACATATCACAGAAGTTTACACTAAGGTAGGATATTGAAATATAAGTTGGATTCAGGCCATGGTGAAGGCATTTTGGACAAGAAAAACAGCTTAAAGTTTATGTGATCTTACACAAATTACTTAACTGCTATGAGACTCAGTTTCCTCTCCTATAAATTAGACTGTTGCAAAGATTAAATAATTAAATTTATATGTGTCAGTTAGGTGTGTGTAGGACTGCAAGTAATAGAAAACCTGACTACTCTGGCTAAAACAAATGGGTTCCTTTTTCTTACTAACAAGAGGCCCAGAGGTGGGGGTTGCTGGTTTGGGTTTGGTGATTCAACAGTGTCAGAGCCAGTTTTTCTGAGATTCTCTTGACCAGTCCTTTGTGGTCTCAAGGTGGGTGCTACAGCTTCAGCTGTCAGTTCCTCATTCAAAGCAGGAGAGAGAAGGAACAGCAGGGACAGCTGCACTCATTCAATGAACATAGATCAAGTGTTCACAATTTGCCAGGCACCACTCTAGGCATTGGGTGCACATTAATGGGAGGAGACAGACAATAAATAAATAGGTGTTTAAAAGTCAAGGAGCCATAAGTGCTATGAAGAAAAAAATAAAGTTGGGTAAGAAGGTAGAAAGTAAAGGTCAGGGCACAGGAGAGGTTGCAGTTTTGTATTGGTCAGTGGTCCAGGGACCATATTTTGGGAATCACTGACTTAGACCAGTCATATCCATTGTCAGGGTCAGGCCCATGGCCCCCTAAACAAAATTTAGGCTCTGTTAGCTAAGAAGTATGGATGCTGATAGACAGCTGACAGTGTCTGCATAATAAGCAAGACAGCCCAGTGCCTGGCTGATAAGCCCTCAGTAAATAATAGTTATTGTAGGTATTGTTATGATCATTGTTTTAGAAGAACTTAAGGTTACAGTAGTGTCTGATCATGGAGGGTTGTAAATGTCAGGCAGATGAGTCCCTTGGTGTACTCTTGCAGAGCGAAGAAGCATTTTGGAATAGGAATGGTCAAACTGGCATTTTCGGAAGATTAAGTAGGCATTGGGTTGAGACCTGCAGAGGAAAAGATTGGGGAGTGAGAGCCAGTTGAGAGGCTGTAACCTTGATTCCAAGTGAAGACATTACAAAGGTGCAGAGGTAAGCAGCTGTCTCTTGCCTTGCAGTCCAGGACGTTGTCCGTCAGCCTACTGGGATCCTGCAGCCTGATTGGCAGAGTTTACTGTGTTCTTAATCAGTGGTTAATTGGGCAATTAGCCCAGCCTAGGCTGAAGGTTGAAGTGGGGGCCAAGAGGTCAGGACTTGGGCCACTTCCCTCCAAGACAGACTGGGAAAGAACGCCCCTGAGAGAAAAGACCACACTGTGATTCACACTATGCTGGAGGTGGCATCTGGGCCTGAAGGTGTTTAGCATCTTCATTGGTGAAACGATGATAATACCATCTTGTAATGGTATTACACCTTCCCTACTTGTCGAACACACGTTAGGGAAAGAAAATGAAAAACCACACATGAAAAATCTTTGATAAGTAAAATGCACCATGCAGATGAAATCGCATTGTCATCTTGCACATGCTTCTCAGGGTGTCTTTGTGTGTGATTGTTACTTCAGTCAGAGCCACCACCCTGGGCTGCAGCTACATGGCCTAAGTTGATAAAGTATTATATGGGGGGGGGGGGGACTTGCCCCTTCCCCCCCCCCTC